AGTGGTGAATTACCTATGGAAGTATCCAATTATGTCTCAAAAATTTCAAGCTTTTAGTATTTCCATCGCCCATTATAATCTTATGAACGGTCAGTTATATTACTAGATCCCATTTTTCACGAACTCTCATTTGGTATAAAATTCAATGTTGAAATCATTTGCCATTGGAGCTATACCCCCGGGCAAAACATTTTTCGCAACCCTGTACATCGACTAGAAACATTCCATTGTTCAATCATTAATCCATCTAAAAATTGTTGTATTGTAGAATTAACAGAATATTTACTTTCTGATGATGAATTTAGTAAAACAGATAGAACATGAGCTCACATTGAACATTTGACTTTGTTTTAATACTAAATCTTTTTTCATATCTCTATTAGTATAAAATATTTTTATTAATCACACATAATTTTCTATGTTACAACATTAAAGCCAAATATATAGTTCATTCAAGTGAGAGAATTCTATTCGAATATTGTTACAATCAAATGATTGATTATGTCCAGTTGCTATTAATTTTTCTTTGAACGTTGTTTTGATTTCTTCTTTGGCTGGATAACGACCATCCTTATTTAGTATTAAATACACTAATTGATGAAATTGACGAATAATTTTCAAAACAAATCCAAGAAGATGTTCATAGAACATTATATTTGCATTGCTTGTCTCGAGAGAATGTAGATGAGGTGTTAATTGAGTTAATCGACGAATATTAAAATATTTTTTAGGTTCGGGATATATTCGATCTAATACAAGATGTAAATGTTTTATATTTGAATATGTTTTTGAACAATGACGAAAATCTTCCCAGTCAATTTTAAGGTGTAATAGATTTGGTGTAATATCAAGTATTTGTTTAACGATAAAAACACGATCTGTGCTTTTGATGTATTTTCGTTCAAAGTCAAAAGACATAGATCGTAGATGATAAAGCAACAAATTGCAATTAGAAAGATAATCTGACGTCATCGAAGAGTTTATCTAAGAAATAGATAAAGATTTCATAGATGAATTAAGAAGTTTTTCAAACATTCTTTGACTCTTCAATACATAAACTATTTTTATATTAACTGACGATCAAAATGATTAATCAAATAAGATTTCTTTTGAAACTTACTTGTTTATTCAGATATATCAATTTAAGTTTATTAACTCGACTACTTGCAACTACTTGCAAAGTTTTGACTGATTGTTCAGGTTTATCTAATTGATCAAAAGTCATTGTAAGTGATCGTCGTTGAGTTGTAATAAGAGGGACAGATACATGTGTCGCAAAACAATAATTGTGTAAAGTTCGCTGGCGTTGTAATATGATGTTGATCGGACGTGTGCACACGACGAAGAATGCCTTCGTCATTAAATCTATTCTGCCATCAGGAGAAATCCACTTCTCATCTATATAACAATCAAGATTATCAAAAGGCCATTCGTCATTATGATGGAATGAACTCATTTGCCATGCTTGTTCCATTTCTTGAGGAAAACACAATGAAAAGTGAAGATTTTTCAGAGAAGGTAAATGGGTAAAATTACAAACTTCTTGAAATTTACCAACCTGATCTAATGCTGCAAAAAACAACAAAACAGAATTCAGAGTAAAATGAACAAGTAGCACTCGTCTAAAGACTCGCTCAGCTCTTTCTCGTAGAAATCGTGTTTCTAAACTACCGTCAAGCTATTCATTTATAAAATTAAAAACACCGAACTCAGATTCAAGTTCTTGGATATTAACTGCCTTCGACCAAACCTCATAAAAACAAATATTTTTTGTTAAAAACTTGTCGTTTATTTAAAAAATTGAGCTACAAAAAATTGTTAGAAAACAGGCTTCAGATTTGAATTCCTCGTCCTCGATTACCTTTCGGTCAACCATTATAAAAAAATTTTTTTTCGTAAAAACGTGACCCTTTGTGTAAAAAAATGGATCCTCAAAAAAATTTTAAAAAACTAACATCAGATTCGAATTCCTCGACCCCGATTACCCTTCGGTCAACCCTTATAAAAAAAATTTTTTTGCAAAAAAAGCGATCCTTTGTGTAAAAAAATGGATCGAAAAAAAAATTCTTAAAAAACTAACCTCAGATTTGGATTCCTCGCCCCGATTACCCTTTCGTCAAGTTTTACAGAAAATATTAATACAATGTTTTTTTGACCTTGTGCGGACATACAATCAAGCAGACAATTTATGTTTGCAAGACTCTTCTCTACGAGAAAGAGAATATGGAATAGAAACGGGTTGTTATGGCAGTATTGGCGTCTATACTGCCATAAAGAGTGATTCATCATGCTTAATACTATCACGTCGAAGATAGCTATGTTTTGTTTGATATTCGTTTCTTGATGAATCGGTTATCGCGTTTGCTTCATTGTTTTCATGAGAATAAAAGTATAAGAAGGAATAGGGAGAATAAAAGAAGGAGAAGGGGACAGCTATAACAGCAATCAAAATGATTATTTGTCTATAGCTAAACATCCATTATGATTTCAAACAGAAGATACAACTGTTTTAACAGCAATATGTACTGCTCATTATGTACAATGAAAATTTGTGGAAATTTCATTACGTCTGACGTTTTCCACAGGAAAGATATATTTGAGTAGATATAATAGATGGAAAATTGATTATATATGATCATCTTCAAACCAGTAGAAGTTTTCAATTGCATTATTTTGTATAAATATATTTAATTTTAAAATCGTATTCATATTTAATAAATGTTATATGGACCAATGATTAGATCAAATAAATATTGATGTGATTTATTGCTTAACTCATTAAATGTTTCTGTCAAGTAATACAGTTGCTAATGCTTCTAACTGTACAAATCCTTGATCATCAACTACTCTGTTACAGAGGTCTCTGTCTGTAATGAATTGTTATATCGTTCAAAATCGGAAGCCAAGGGTTCATTCCTTCGACTCTTTCTTCTCTGTTTATTCATCCAAAAAATCCGTCTTTTATACAATCTCAACACAAAGAAAAAGAAAACAATGAAGAAGGATAGTTTCAAGTACATTCTTCGAAAATAAATTGACGTAATACAAAGAAGATGACATCAGACACATTTTTTCCAATTGCGCAATAAGTATCCGAATAAGTACAGCGAAATGAGAAAGAGAAAGAAAATGAGAAATTCGATTTCTCATAGACAAAGAAAGAGAACGAAAAAAAAAAGAATGACCTAGATCTATAGAAGATGGTATGGATAGTCCGTATGATAGAAGAGATAAGAAAGGTGGAATCAAAAGAAGAATATGTATACACATACAAATACATTCACTCATACGACTTAGCAAGGATCCTGTTAGAGTATTCTCTAACACATCCTTATTTGGACAAAATATAATTTATATATTAGCTTGATTATTTGTGTAAATAATTATAATTATTAAAAATGTTTTAAAAGAAAAATGGTTGTATGCCTGGAGAAAGTGTTGCTGCTTATCGATTCGCAAAGTTTACGTACACATACATACATACATATATGCGCACGTGTTATTCTCTTCTCTCTACTTTTATTAGTGTACATAATACATAGATCGATCATTTCAGAAAAAGTTATTGCTATTCAAAGAAAACATAATGTCTTCGATAGCCAATATCGATATGGAACATTTTGGATGTACGACAGGTCGCATAGCAACAAAGAATATTCGATCATGTATTTGCTTTATAGTTATTTTCGAAGATGGAAAGATATTCTTAGAACATTGTAGCGATATCTTTTTGCCGCAACAGTTTACAATTGATAATACCAAATTAGTCTTCAAAAATCTAGCTGAACATATTGATGAATCTGAACCTTCGTCAAGAATTACGTAAGTGTATGAAAAGTTATTCTGAAACTAAACATCTAATTTTTCAAATAATTAATATTCAATTTCTTTTTCTCTGAATAATTCACAATATCCATGTAATTAGAAATTCCTGTAAAGTTACTAGTGATTAAAAAAGATATCTATTGATCCTTATGATTATTAGGGTAGATGTGTTAAGGGAGATAGAGTTGAATAAAATCACTAAAGTGAGACAGACGGAACGTCTTGTACTTTACTTTCTTCCCATTTTATTTCAGAAAAAACACACCTATATATATAAGAGGAGAAGAAAGAGAAAAGATGATCTACTGTATAACAAAGACGAAAGTGATTAGATACCAGAATAGTATTCAATGAATAAAGAATGAAGAAAAAAGAGAGATCGAGGTCGTTCCTAATAATGATCCGTATAAATATAAAGAAAAACTTCATCAGTTGATTAATAAAGACAGATAGGTTGTAGAACTTTTGAAAACAAGCGAAATAAACAATTTATGTTAATAAAATAGAACGAAAGTTTTCTTTCATAATATCACATATCGTCTAAACAAGACAAAATACTATGTATTTGCCCATTATTTTTTATTTGGAATTATCCAACGTGATAATTTATTTATTATTAAATCGTGATTAGAAAACTTTTTCTCTCCGTTTAATTTTGTTTTTCTAAAAAGCAATGATTAATTCATTTTTACTCTTCTCAATTCAAAGAATCCTGTGTTTTTTTCTCTAAAAAATATTTTTGATCATGAATTTAAAAGAAAAAACATCATGTTACACCAATAGTCATATAGATTATGTTTATCTTTTACAGAACGTTCGTTGTCTTTGGCGGCTATGGTGATCAACGTTTTTCCAAATTACAGTCAAATATTAATCAATTGCTCAATGGTGACAAAGGTAATGTTGATGATGAAGCATCTCCTTATTACCAACAACTTCTTGATTCAATTAAATATTTCGATGTTTGTTTTAATATTGAAATTAAATCAAAAGACTTTAAAGGATGGAGTAGTAGTGATATTGTTGTTGATAAAGATGTGAAGAATGAACAAATCATAGTTTTTGTCGAACAATATGCTCAAACATCTAAAGGATTAACTATGCTTATTGGTGTTTTATCATTTGGAATTCAGGGCAAGGGAAAATTGTTTGTCATCAATCAATTGGGAATAACTACTTACAACGGTAAGGCAATTTTCCCATTATCTCGTCAAACGTAAAAATATTTTTAAAAAATTCACATATAGTAATAATAGAGTATCTGGTCCAGTGTCGAAACATCAATATATTATTATTATAAATGCAACCATAGATTCATAGATGTGACATTTCGATGTCGTGATTAGATAAACTAATGAAAATAGATATATTCCTCGGTAAATAACGCCTGAAAATAATATTTATGTACAAATGGTACGACAAATAAAATTAGATCAATTTTTTTTTCCTTAAATCTATCTTCGATTAGACATCGAAATGTAAGAAGAAGTCTAATCATAGAAAACCTTGCATTTATTTATCGAGTAATTCCTGTTAAACATATGACATCACGTACTTATGGTTAGAAAAAATATTCATGATTCAAAATTGCTAGATTCATAAGTAATTGAATTTTTGTTCAATCTTTTAAAACAGTTGAAAAGATCATCAGATTTGTAGATAAGAATCTGAATGATAATAATTTTACTGCAATTATTTAAACGTATATCTAAAAAGAAAACTAATTTGTTAATGAAGATCTGCATATGTATATATTATATTTGTTTTTAGATAAAACATCACTTGAATATGAATTTTTGAATGATGCTGCACAACATTTTCAATCGCATTCAACAGCTTTAGGTGGTATTAAATGTGAAGGAGATCCGGCTATGCAATTATTAAATTATAGTCGTGATTTATTTCGTCAAATTGAACAAAACTTTTACAAAAGTCAACAAAGTTTGTCAGATTCTGATCAAGAAATGTGTAAGCACTAATCGACGATCTTGCCTCGTTCTTTCCAGATTCTTGTTTTTCTTGACTTTCAGACAAGATTCCTGTATTCAGGCAAGATTCTTTTCCACAGGAAAGTAAAAAGAATCTTCTCTGGAGCTCAAGATGACCAGAATCTTGCTTGATTGATCAGAAATAAAAGAATCAGGCAAGAATCATAAGATAGTCAAGATATATTTCAAGTTCAGACAAG